ATTGCAGAACAGAGCTCTGCAAAAGCAGTGACCAAAGAAATTTCAAGGAAAGTAGTGAAGAAAATTAGCACACACGAGCATATGCAGTGCTCCTGTCCCTGTCCAGATGAAACACACAGAGCAAAACACAAAGTACTACAAAAACGTAGTACTTATGCTTTCTTCATGTCTTCCCCACCTTTCACAGTTCCTACAGATTGGATCTGTATTCATTGCCTACAGGTGCAGAAAGCTACAGCAGCACCATTTTGTGACACCATAGCTATGTAATCTCACATTTTCAACTCTCTGAAAATAAAGTCAAATAAACCACATACAGACAGCAATGTAATTGCCCCTCACTTCTTTATGAAAGCAGACTGGAGTGAGATGCAATACATTATTAAAACATTATAAATCAGCTTATTTTGGAATGAATGGTTGGAATGTAGTACCCTCAACAATTTCAGCCACACCTTGTCCAGCCCTTCGCACAGTCCCTGTGATGGCCAGTCAGCAAGTAGATCATCAGGCATGAGCTCCCTCTCACTTTGGCATTTTTCCACCATTTGCTATTTCCTAGCAGCAATAAACATGATGATTTGCTATCCCATGACCTAGGGACTTCATGACAAAGTAGGAAGTATCTTCTTACTCAAGCTTCGCAGAAAATTTTAATAAACACATTCCTAAATAATTCATAATTGGCACCATACATGATTCTGTTAACCTTTCAGCATCATTTTTGCACATCTTGGGCCCCGAATGAAAAATTTAGAAGTGGCCTTTGCTTCTGCAACCAATGATGAGCATGTATGCACACCTACCTACACATACACATACATACACGTGTACATTCTTTTTCTCACAGTATTATATTCGGTAGGACCAAATCAGAGTACCACCAATCATCATTATCTTCAGCCAAGCTGTTTTACATACGTTGTTTTTCTCCTTCCAAAGAACAGTAGAACCAAATGTCACAGGAGTAAAGCCGTCTCCCACACACTTTCAGTTAAGCACTGTCATTCTCTGAATTCTTTGGGAAGGTCGAGGTAAACAGCTCAACAAGGTTTGCACTCCAACAATTGCACGAAGGTGGGAAAAAAGCATCCCCCCAAGGAAAACCATCAGCTGATGTTTTCCTTAACATTGCAAACTGTGTCTCTGTGTAAATCATGCATTTATCACAGTGTTATACCATGAGGAATTGTTCTTCTGAGTTTTTTTTTTTATTACAAGAACAGAGAGTATGGCCAGAATAACAAACCTGGTAAACACTGACACATGTTCATCCATAGCAGAAATTCTTTTTGTTTTAACTAAATGAGAAAGCCGTAATCATTCAGACTAACTTACATATCAATTTCATGTTCAGCATTATTTCAAGTCTCACATTGTTCCCACTGAAGTCTATTCTCCCAATAAGTGTATTTCTTTCCTCCCCTTTACTCCTATTTTTTAGTAGGCCAATAGGGAAAATAAACTCCTGGTGCTGATTTACTGGCTTCAATCATGTGATCCATTGCAGATTTGGGGGTTCATTTCTACGCTAAGGCTTTGTTAATAACAAGAAAATAGAAGTATTTTCTTAAGCTCCACAAATACATGAGTCATTAAACAAACACCTCCTGAATAAGGCTCAACTCAGCAAGCCTGCAACATATACACACTTCCTCCAATATTAACATTTTAATGTATGATGACTGAACATAACGCTGGGAATTCTTATGTACAAAGGCAGCACAGCACTGCACATAAAAAGTGAACAAGGTTTATCGAAGCAAAATTCTTTCTTGATCATCTCTTGGGAGCTTTACCTGAGAAATTTCTTGATGTGTCTCAGCAGTGGTCTCTACTTTTGGAAATATAACAACCTAAACTAACCATCATGCCTCATACAACTGAAAGCCAAAAGGGGTAAAAAGGAATAGAAAAGGATAAAAGATCTGAATCATGCAAGCCAATGCCAGCAAATATGCCTGCTCCTCTCTCTCCTCTTTATCTATGACCCCCCAAAGGCATGCATTTGAAGACATGCCTAATTAATCTAATTAGCTATATTTACATTTTGACTCAGCCACCTGCATCTGCTATTACAGATACATAGCATTCCCTCCTAAAAAATCCACTTGGTTTTCTTTGAAGTACACTCTAGCAGTCAGTAGCTTTTCAGCTGTTGGGCACAGGTGGCTCCGAGCATGTCTTAAATATCATCTCCAAATCACTTTAGTATGGCCTTGCAACTATGTAAGAAGTGAGAATTCAGTACAAACACTTCAGGATATCTGCAAGTTCAAAGCTTTGAAAGTAGCAGTATAGAACTAAACTTTCTTCTGTCTTAAGTTAACAGTACAAAAATGTCAAAGTGCTTAGGCTTTCAAATGAAGTAACGACTGCAAAATCATTTGGGATCAAGGCTCACTATATTCACTAAGAAGACATGCAGAAAAAAATATTAATGTAATGACTATTTCTCTAAAAATCTTTTATTAATGAAAGCCAAGAGAAAGCACAGCTACTATCCATACAATTAGTAAAGCAACACAAATCTGTGGTATCCACGTAGTGGTATCATGCAAAATGACAGGATTCTACAACCCCAATCAACACACACTCATTTCTCTTTCAGCATAAAACAAGTCTGTAAAACCAGCAGATTGCCTACACATCAATACAGCAATTAAACTCTAACTTTTACTTGCCAATACGTAAGTATCACTGTGGTTTAATTATATCAATATAAAAGAACAAAAATCACAGTGCTGTGTACTTTGAAACATTTCTGGGTGTTGACCAAGTAAAACTTGCTTGTTTTGAAGGTTTGCTTAAAGCTACATGAGAACTCTTATGCTTCCATCCTCCAACTGTAGATTTAGCAGCTGTAACAACAGCTGTGTACATTAGCAGCTGTAAAAGGCAGATGCTAAGTTCTAGAAAACAGCTTCACAGTAAATGAAAATAGAGCCTGTAGCAAGTTCTCATGGATTCCTCACAATTAGAAGATTTTACTGTGCAACTTAACATCAGCTGGAGATCTGATTATTGTACTGCGCTTCAGCTGAACTTGGACTCCAGGTCTTCCCAACCTGTTGGACCTCTCTGATTCCATTACGACAGGAAAAAATCCTTTTGCTGTTACAGAAAAGCAATACTCAGTCACACTGGTACAGTAATTATCTACGTTGGCTCATGTGCTCACTACTTTCATTGGAAGGAAGGCTTTAATATCAAAGAATCATAGAACCCTTAGAGTTGGAAGAGACCTTTAAAAGTCATCTAGTCCAACTCCTCTGCAATGAACAGGGAAATGAATTAGAAATACGTTTGGCTTGTATTGCATCAACAAGAAGAAACTGAGTGTAAATTCTGTACACCTTACCAACAGAAGATCATTTTAGTAAAAGAATGACCTAAATAAAATATGCAAATATTGTATAATTTTGTCATAATTCTTATATCAAAACTCTATCGTAGCAGAGGCTTTGGCTATCAGCAAAGGAGGATGAAAAAAAACCAGAACTTGCTTGTATTGGTTCTTAGGGATCCTCTTAGCTTTCTCAAGTCATTTACAATTTGGAACATGTTTTAGGAATCTAAAAAGTTCTCTAGACACTTACTGAGCTAAATTTATTAGGATAAGAACACTTGCAGCTTTGTTGACTTTGACTGCTGATGTGGGCATTAAGTTGCTTTCAAAATGCAGCCCACTTATTTCAGTATCTAACTATAGGGTGTACCAACTCAGTGAACTGCTAATTGAAAACACTGCTGATGGTGCCCAAATTTAAAGCAGAATGATGAAAGGAATCAAACACTGCTGATTTAATGCACTGTCTCTGTCTTCCTCCTCTTCATCTCCACAGTTCATGGAGAGTTCTACAAAATGGCTCAGCCTGCAAAGTAGTTAAGAGAAGCATGCAAGAAAATCTCTACCTGGATGAAGATAACATAAAAACATTATTTAAAAGAAAAAACAAACCCCACAGATCTTTGTGGGAACAAAATAGCAGACATTGGAGAACACGAGACAGAAATAAAGCTCTTGACCCTCCCACATCCCACTAGATTATTTGTTTCCCCAAAGAAACAAAACAAACAAAAAAACATCCTGAAATATATTTGAGGCATGAAAAAGTACTGTTTTGCTATAGGAACTAACTTACATGACAAATAATTACAACAGTGACAGAAAAATACATGGAAACACAAGGAGAGATTTCATGTCTTGAACATAACCATGCCAGCTTTCACTTGTTCAAAAACAGCCTACGAATTTCAGTGCAGAAACAGGTTATGAACAAAAGATTACGGTATACAAGGAATGGCTTAACCTTGTTTGTTAATTGTGAAGCTCTGAAAATGTAATACCATGAAACTCCAAGCACAGCATCCTCCCCTTACTGCAAATGTGCTGGCAGGGCACATGTTCTACTTCATGGCACACAAAGTAATGATCTGTTACAAGCAGTAATTGTTCCTGCACGTGTATAAAAGCATATTGTGCTGTATCCCCAGGAAGATGGCATGTGCTAGAAAGAGAAACAGCAGCAGCTGAGCACTGTGAGTCTGAACAGAAGCTATATGAAAGCAGATGAAGAAATTAAGACTTACCACCTGCAAGTTACCAACACAAAAATCAGTTCTCTGACTGGAGAAGAATTCACAAATGCCAAATTCTCACCACATGTACTTTAATGTAGGGGTCTCCAAACTTTTTAACTTTTTGTGATCATACATTCCTATTAATGAAACATTTTTCAGCATGCACAATCAGTATACGTATATTTACTAAATGGCACACATGTACTACTGAAGTCCTAACATTTTCTTTCTTCACCTCAATGGACAGTTTTACCTCACTCTGAAGACCACTGCTGTAATGAACAGAGGAGCAAAAGCAAGCAAAACAAGCCCTTTCCCCAGATACTTGCTATGAACAATGCACACCAAATTCTGGGAGCTCTGAGCTGATTACCATACCTAAGATTTTGCTAAGGGAGATAAAAAGTCAGCCTTACCAGAGGTGGTGGTGGTGGAGGGGGCCCTCCAGAAGGTGGTGGAGGTGGTGGAGGAGGAGGCGGCGGCGGCGGCACAGGCATCCGTTAGGTTTCTTGCTTCACACAGTTATGAAAAATACAGCCAAAGTCTGTGTCCTTGACGGGAAGGAAGGGAGGAGAAAGAAAACTGGAAAAAAAAAAAAAGAAAGAAGAGGAACGAATGTGTTTATGCACTGTAAGCTTAAGATCAGCCAAATTTCTAGCTCTCGGCAGACTGAAGACTTCTGCTCTGCACCGCTTCCAAAACTACAGTAAGAACAGCCTCATTACAGTTATCTGATGACAACAAGCATATAAAGACCAAGCTCACATATTTGGACAAGTGCCATGAATACCAAATGCATAGATGCCAAGCTGTCCAGCTTTAATTATTACGCTTTCCCTTAATCCAGCCCAGAGTTCCAAAATGCAATTCTGCAGAGAACTAATCGCAGTCAAACAAATGTAGACACTCCTACTGGGACAAAAACTCTGATGTCTTTAAATCAGAGGTTTGATG